CTGGTAGATGACAGTGCAGAAATACCTGCTGATGAAAACACGGAGATGATCGTGGTGCTTACAGTTTAAAGTACAATAAATTGTTGCTCTTATAAAAAAAAAAACTGCACTGTGATCCACACATAAACAGCATATTTGTCTAATGTTTGAAAGTAGCAGATGAACAAACCTTCAGCAGAGATCTGAACAGTTGAACTTCCTGCTTGCAGGTGAGCTGATCCACAGACCTGGATGCTCTTTTTATATGTGAAGCCACGCCTCGGCTGGAGCTTGTTCTCTCTGCAGCATCAGTTTGGTGCAGTTAAAGAAAATGAAAGCAGTACTCACTTCCCTTACTGCTGTGCATTCATGTTTGAGTTTTATGTCTTTTACAAGTTCAAAAAACAATCTACGACCCACTTGACCCAACATATTAACTTTATTTGAGTTCAGGAAGTAGATATATGCATTTAGTTCTTGCAGTGTACCTCAAATCTGAGTTGCTTTTACAATTGAGACATTAAAACATGAAGTTATCAGACACTAAAACCAGTATTGTTACATTTTCTGATGAGATGTGCTTGCAGTCATGCTTAAAAAACAAAGGTCAAGTCATTGTGAGATGTTATTTTGATAATATTTTCCACGAGGCTTCATTTGATGCATTAAATCTCCCAAATCAGATCTCCTGTCAAGACTTTATTGTTTAAAAATATGCTATATAAAGCCTGATCACGCTGTTCTGACCTTGGTATTTTCTTGCAGCATTTTCATTGTCTATTAGATGGCAACGTTGTTGCTGTGTAGAAGATCTTTGAAATTTACAGTATTTATTCAAACTACACTTGTATATTAAATTATTTTGAAGAAATAACAGCAATATGCCAATATGCCAATTGCCAATATGACATTCATCAAAACTCCAACTAAAGATGTATTTAAAAGGTAACTTTTCTTGAAATAAAAAGGTTTACATAACTCAGATTGCAGGAAATGAAACAAACAAAAAAAAAAAGAAGTTCTTTAAAATATCAAGACAACAGCAGATTTCCACTAGAAAGTTTCTGGAGAAACTTTGATGGAGACTGCCTATTTATTAGTAAATTATTATAAAAAAACATTAACATTATTAATTATTAATATGAATAATTAATACTAACTATTAATATTAAAATAATAATAATATATTATTAATTTATTAAATGATATTAAAATAGTATTATAATTAATAATAATGATATTCATATTAATCATCAATATTAATAATTATTAATATTGCTAATGATAATTATTAACATTAATATTTGATGTTAATTATTATTATTATTATTATTACTAATGAACAATAATAATAGGTGATAATAGGTAATAATAGGGGCCATCCATGCATTGCATAATGCACTGCCTTCCTTGCATGTTGAACCAAAATGGCTACATACGTTACTCAGTTTCTGTGAAGGGTTTTCTCCCATTCATTTCCTATGGGAAATTTGGCATTTTTGTTAGCAAAATACATCGCCATGGTAACTGCGAATGCCAATTAAAGTAATTGCACACTTCCCAGAGCCGGGTAGGTCGTTTTGATACAACTGTTTGGGGGTCACATTGCTGTTCTAGCCGCATTAAAGTTGAAAAAGAAACGCTTATCAGGTGTAGAATAATAAGTGGCCAGTCACCAACTAGTTCCTGGAGTTGGTGAAATATTACGTCTTTTGTCGCAAATTACATTGCCGTGGTAACTCGAAATGCCAATAAAATTAATAGCACACATCTTTAGGCCGAGCTGGTCATTTTTATATAACTTTTGCGGAGGTAGACTGTCAGAGATCTGATGGCAGAGGATCCTACACACAGACTCAGAAAGGTTTTTAAAATGTTTATTGAGTAAATAAACAGCTTCTGGTGTCTCAGGTCCAGGGGCAGGAACTGTATCTAAAATGATACAGAGGGGAAAGATTAGTGTTTGACAGAATAATGAGTAGTTATCTGAATACAGACTGTCTGATGAAACACTAACCTTTCTTGTTGAAACGGGACGCTCCAGGGGAGACACAGAGACCAAGGGAAATCCAGAGGCGTAGTTCAGGATGAGCAGGGTTCATACATAGAATCAGAAGAGGAGACAATACCGATAGGGAGAGGCAAAGGCGAAATCCAAAAACAGGCACAGGTCGTAAACAAGGTCAGAAGGCTGAGGCACAAAAGGGACAGGCGAAAAGCGTGGTCAAGGGAAACAGGTGTGGATCAAGATTAAAGAGCTGTGAACAAAGAGAGTACGTTGGATAACTGTGGCTGGAAGCAAGCAGTTGATCTGGCAATGTAGTGGAGAAAGCAGAAAGTATGTATTCACCCAGAAGCAGGTGGAAACCATCAGCAGCGATCAGAGAGAGAGGTGTGGCATGTAAAGAGGTTGGTAGAAGCAGCAGAGGAAAAACCCAGGTGAGCAGAGAAGAAAAAGTCAAACAGTGAACAGAGTGATGAGAAAAGGAAAAAACAGAGTGTAAACTGTGACATAGACATTATGGTTCGGGACGCATTAACGGAGATAGAAATGTAGACACACTTCCGAGGTGTAGAATAATAGGTGCCTGCCATGCATTTGCATGGCAGTCCCCAACAAGTTCAGTTTTGTGAACACTAATTCAGATCATACTCTTTTCTTTTCCTCTTTTTTTTCCTGTAGTTTTTGTTCTTGTTGGACCTCCTGCCTCATGGCAGGGGGTTGGAACTCAGTGTGACCTGGGTGCGAGGAGTCTTTTAAAATATTTGTGGCTTTCTTGAGACAGCGGGAGCTGTACACTTCTTGAAGAGAGGGCACTGAGCATCCTCTTCTGGGCTGTGTTGTTGATTCCCTTATGTGTTTTCATCTGTGCTACTGTGTAGCTGAAGAACTAAACACAGAGGCAGTGGCACAAGATGCTCTCTATAGAGCAGCGACAGGACACTAGCAGCTTTAGGTGTTGCTGAGGACTCTCAGGAAATAAAGTCTTTGCTCAGCCTTTCTTTGCCAACTCTGCTGTATTTGCATACCGGGTCAGGTCTTCCATGATGTGGACTCCCAAAAAACAGAAGTCTGACACCCTCTCCACCCAGTCCTCATGGATGTGTAGTTGTTGGATGTCCGTTTCCTTTTACTTGGCTCCTTGGTCTTAGCTGTGTTCACGAGCAAGTTGTTGTATCTGCACCACGCTGTCAGCCGTTCCATCTCAGGCTGTCTCGTCTCCTCCAGGGATGAGCCCTACTACAGTGATGTTGTTTACAGACGTGAGGATTGAGTTGTGGTGGGCGGGAGCACAGTCATGTGTGCACAGTAAGAAGGGCAGGGGGCTCAGCGCACAGCCCTGTGGTGAACCAGTGCCAATGCTGATGGCTGAGGAGGTGTGAGGGCTCACCCTGACACTGTGTGCAATCTGTCAGGAAGTCCTTAGTCCAGACAGAGACAGGTGGAGTATGGGAGTCCCAGGGCTGAAAGCTGACCCACCACTCTGTGAGGGAGGTTAATGTTTAAAGCGGAGCTGAAGTCAGTGAAGAGGAGACGTACGTAGCTCTCCTGGTACTCCAGGTGTTACCTTTATTTACAACTATTTTCTGCATAGAAATACATCAAGGGCAGCACGGTGGCGCAACTGGTGGAGCTGCTGCCTCTCAGCGAGCAGGTTGCCCCAGTTCAAATCCCGGTCCGGGGGCCTTTCTGGGTGGAGTTTGCATGCTCTCTCCGTGCATGCGTGGGCTTTATCCAGGTTTTAGTTTAGTTTAGTTTTGATGTTCATAATTTTTTATTATTTTTCTACTACATTTTTTTGTTGCAGAAAATTATATTTTGTTTCAAAGATAAATTTTTCCTTCTAGTGTTTACAATTTTCTTGTCACGCTTCAGTTTATTTATAAAGCGCCAAGTCACAACAGAAGTCGTCTCAGGAGACTGAACAAAAATATTCATATATATAAAACAAGTAATCAGAAACATTCATATTTTAAAAAAAAAATTACATTTATCTGAGGAGTAGACTGCTTTGAGTTTAACTCCATCGCAGAACTCTCATCTTGAGCAAGCACGAAGGTGACAGTGGAAAGGAAAATCTCCCTCAAGAAACTTTTAGCAGAACCAGACTCAGGACAAGCGGCCATCTGCTTCGACCTGCTGGGTTTGAGAGGAACAGATACACAATGGCAGGTCAAGAATCACATGTTAAGATAGCAATAGTATCAAATGAAAACTATTCAATTTTAACAATTCATTTAAGGAAATGATGTCAATTTGACCTCTAGTAGTCTAAGCTTAAGACAGCATGACAAGCCAACCCTAACTGGAGCGATAGGCAGGTGGAAGAAAGCAGTTCTAGTAATGTTTTTAATGTGGGGGATAAATGTCCTGATCAAAAATAACACTACGATTTTTAACATTAGAGCTGGAGGCCAGATTAATGCCATCTAAGGAGGGTGAAAGACTGAAAAATTAATTCCTAAGGTGCTTAGGTCCAATTCTAAAACCTCAATCTTGTCTGTGTTTAAAAGCAGAAAATTTAGGGACATCCAGGTTTTTATGTAAAGACATGCTTGTCTAAGTAGCTGATAGGATTAATTGGGTGTCATGGACAAATATAAATAAAAAGGGGATACTGTATTGGATTTTTTTCAGCGTAAGTCTCCACTTGCTTTTTTAGGGACGATGAGCACATGTGCCGTGTTTATCTTTGGACAATTCTGATTGGACAGCTTTATTATAATCCCGCCCATTTACCCGCCTGCCTACTTGTCATTGGGTAACCCAACAGTAGACCCGCCTATCTTTACGCCTTATTTGTTTGTGATTGGACAGCCGAGCCTCGGCTCATGTCTTCCCACCGCTCGCGAATCACTCGAACGGCATCGCAAGGACTTCTGGGAGACGTTGTTCTGTTTGCCTTAAGAAAATTGTGAAAAGGGTTTTCTAGCACTACAACTCCCAGGTAAAGAGCAGAAACGGCAAAGTTTCTCAAACACCGGCGGAAAACATTTCGTCGGAGTCCAGTTAAAGCAAGATGACAGATGGAACGTGAGTATTGAACTCTTTTTTTGGCGAACAAGTTTTTCCCAGAGCTTGTGATGTTCTGTTGAAGCCAACCACATCATCAGTTGCATTGAAAATAAGTTAATTCATTTAAAGCGGAAGTTGTTCCTTCGTTTTAAAACGATTTAAGATTTTCCCAAAGACTAGTGGTTCTGAATAGCTCCAGAACTAAATAATGTTGTTTGGACCAGAAACTGAAGTTAAATTTAATTTAATGGCTATGTTTTACTACCCGTCTCCTTGGACACATAGATAATTTAAATTGGTGCAGATTATAGCTTTTACGGTAATTATCTCTCCATCAGTAGAGAGAAGAAGCCCTGAAGTTTATTGGATCAGAACTTGAACTTTATATCTGTGCTGTCTTTTCTATTGCAGGCACCTGCGGAGGCGAGGGGGACCTTATAAAACAGAACCGGCCACAGACCTGAGCCGCTGGAGGCTGACCTCTGTGGAGGGCAGGCAGACCTGGGACTATGTGGAGGATCAGGACACCCCTGACAGAGAGCAGACCATGATGGAAGCTCTTTCTTTGGGCTTGGACACTGTAGGTCTTTACGTATTTTACAGATCATAAATGCCAAATTTCAACAAACATGTAAAAGCACAATTAATACAATATTGTTTTCTTTCTTTGATTGATGATGATTTTCTCCACAGAGCAAGTTTGTTCCTGACTCCCCAGCTGCAAAAACTGCCCTGGATGCAGCTATGAAAGGCATGAAGTTCTACAGCCGCCTCCAGGCTGAGGACGGTCACTGGGCTGGGGACTACGGTGGACCCCTCTTCCTTCTCCCAGGTAGTATAACTTTCATTCTGACTCTTTAAAAAGCACCTTAAATTTATTGAATTCTGTTGCAGGTCTCCTTATCACGTGTCATGTGGCAAAGATTTGTCTACCGGAGGTGTGGAATTTGGAGATGGTGAGGTACCTGCGCTCTGTTCAGCTGCCAGACGGTGGTTGGGGTCTGTAAGTCAGAGTCCAAGGAGTCTTAGAAAAAACGTCCATGTGGGGAACATTAATCATGACAGCCATGTTTGTGTATGTCCATGTTTTCTGCAGACATATAGAAGATAAGTCCAGTGTGTTTGGAACGGCGCTGAGCTACACCTCGCTGAGGATTCTGGGAGTGGGTCCTGACGACCCGGATCTGGTTCGTGCTCGGAACAACCTGCACAGTAAAGGTGTCCAAAATCAACGCGTGCACAGCGAGAACACGTAAACTCCACTAAGCAAGGCCTGGAGGCAAACCTCCGACCTTCTTGCTGTGAGGGGACAGCTCTAACCACTGTTCTGCCGTGTCCCCCAACTAAAAGTTAAAAGAAGCAAAAGGCCAGCTAAAAGTTGCAGAACTGTAGCTTAAAGCTAAAAGTAGCGGAAGGCTAGCCAAAACTAAAAGTACCGGTAGTATAAAAAGACAAAATAGAGCCATTTTGCAAAAAAAAACATTAAATTGAAAGTAACAATGATATGAGACCTGATAAGACTTTGTTTGGGTTTGAATCCAGACATGGTCTGCTGTTTTTGAACCTTTATTTAGCTTATTAGCAAACGTTTAGCACTATACCTCTTTATATTAGCAGTATTAAAGTTCTGTTTGTGCTTGACTTGTTTCAGGTGGTGCCACTGGGATCCCATCATGGGGTAAATTCTGGCTCGCTGTTTTAAATGTCTACAGCTGGGAGGGAATGAACACGTTACTGCCAGAGATGTGGTAAGTTCTACCAGCATTTTACGTTCGCCTCTACCTGCTCTGAAGATTGAAAAGATAAATATTAAATTCTCAGATGATTTTTGAAAAAAAGAAATGTACACTCCTGTGCAAAAGTCCCAATCCACTCCTATTTTTTATGCAGTAATTTCCTTTAGTCTGTTTTCTAATCCATTAAAATGATCTTGATCAATGGTTTTTCAGACTTTTCGAAGGTCTTACAAGGGACTATTAGCTGATTCCTTACTCATTTTTGTCCAAGATAACACAATTTAACAGAAAGTACATGCAGATGCAGATGCATTTGTTGGTACAGTCCTAAAGTGATTGGAGCCAAAAATCCCCCGTTTTGCCTCATCTGTCCACAAAACTTTGTGGCTTGTCACCATTTTTGTGACTTCCTGTCTGTATTTTTTGTGTTTTCCTGTCAATACTAGAGGCTCCTGGCTCTTCTTCCTAATTATTGTATCAAAATAGGATGTACGTTAGATCAGAAAGGGCCGTACCATGACCATGGAGTTCACCTTGAATGGTTCTGGAAGGTTTCCTCAGCTCTTGTTCTACCACTCATGCTAGCTATCTGATAAACCTGGGGTTGCATTTCTTCTTGCATCCACATCCTGGGACGTTGGCTACAGTCGTATTCTATTTTTATAATTCTCTTTAGCTGTGGTCAGAGGAACACAAATCATCTTAGAGATGATCCTGTCAACCTTACCTTTGACATGGACAAGTATAATGTTTCTGAGAAAAGGGAAGGGGGCAGGGCTTTGAACCTGCCCTGGGACCATCTTTTTGGACGTTGTTCCTCTTCTGGTTTCTACGTCCAGGATTATATCTGGTGTCCAGCTTTGACAGAAGTCTGTGGTCTCTCCCAGAGCGACAAGAAACAGCTTGAACATGTTTTACTCTCTTAAGAAACGGAGCTTACGTTTGTTTATTGTGCGTTTCAGGCTGTTTCCTGACTGGATGCCAGCTCATCCCTCAACCCTTTGGTGTCACTGTCGGCAGGTCTATTTACCTATGAGCTACTGTTACGCTGTCAGACTGACCGCAGAGGAAGATCCGCTAATTCTCAGCCTCAGACAGGTGACCAGTCTTTAAGCTGTTTTTGTTACGAAAGGTTCTGGGGAGAGTATTTGCTGCAACTTATGTAATATAAACTGTAAGCGTTTTTTTTTTGGTGACTTTATTTTCACACCTGTCAAATAGAACTATTGTCTTGAGTCTAAATAACCTTACTCGTGATGGTGTACCACAAGGGTTACATTCAGGTTCCCTCTTTTTCTCTATAATTTTTTTTTTCTGTAAGTGTTAGAAATTCAGTGCAGATGACACTCATTAAATCATGCCGAGCCCAGCAGCTTGTCTTTCTGACATTAAATCTTTAATAACCTAGAATTTTCTCAGTTTTGTCGGTTCTAAATTTGGCAAATTATGTCCCACTTCACACTTACTTGCCCACTCAACCCTGTAACTACTTCTTTTTGTGTCATCAAGATAGCTGCCACAGCTAAATTACCTGCTGACCAGATACTGCGCTAACATTTGATGTACTAAAACCCAACTATTGTATTTACTTAATTATTACTGTGTTATAAACATGCCTTAATGGTTGAAAACAAAACTACATCTGATGAATACACAACATATCACTTGACAGTTAAATTTCTTTTCTTAGCCACTTATTTTTCTCTCATTTTTTCTGGATTTTTATAGTAAACTCATGTTTTCCCTCAGACTCTTTGAGTAAGTTGTGCGTTTTGATGGTTTTGCTGTTTATTTTCAAGTGGATTTCTTACAACAGAATCTGGAATTTGATTATGAGTATCACAACACTCCAAAGCATAATGCTGAAATGAAAAACGTCCACATAGGCTCAGTTCTCTTTGTCTTTTTGTACAAATCTAAGGCTTTGAGTTGTTTGTAAAATCTCCTTTTCGTGTTGATTTTTTTTTGATAAAGGGCTGGTACTCATGACTTTTACTGTCAAACCAACAAATAAGTGCTTGTGCCCTGCATGCCAACATTTATTCATCGTATTTGTTTGACAAACCTAATCTTTTGTATGAATATGCGTGATCAAACTTCTGACAGGTACTGTTATTGGGAACATAAATACATTTATTAATGACTAATTTTATGCCGTTTGTCCTCCAGGAACTGTATGTCCAGGACTACGCCACCATTGACTGGCCCGCTCAGAGGAACCACGTGGCAGCATGTGACCTGTATACGCCTCACAGCACACTGCTGACTGTTGCCTACAGTAAGTAAAGTACTTTTGACCTCAGCATTCCCACACAGACTTAGAAAGTCTTTACTTGTCTTCTTTTTTCAGGTCTATATAAGTATAAAATAAAAGAGTTTGGAGAGTAAGACGTTTGTCCGATTCCTTTTTCTAAAACTACACGTTTCTGGATGGCGTTCACATGTGGCTTCCTGTTTGCATCATAGAGCTTTAGAGCATCTGTGAACTGCGCTTCCAGACAGTGATTTGTGCAAGTGTTCCTGAGCCCGTTCAGTGATGTCCAGAACGGAATCAGACCAAGAATAGATGGAAAACCCTGGAATGACGGGCACTATCAGTCAGCATTGATAAATCACTTTTAAATAAGTTTTTGTAAAGCGGTAGATATCTGGGGCAACATTGCACACTTTGCAGAATTTTGCCAAGTCTTCGGCTAATAAATGAGTAGAAAACAAAAAAACAGTGTCAAAACATAAACGTTCAAAGACCTTTTAAAAGTGTGAAGAACTGTTGATGGAGACCATTTCAAAGATAACAAAGTCTGGCTCCTCTACAGGTGTTCTCCCCCCCAGCAGTCTCCACTAACATTGTGACGCTTGTGTTTGTTACTCTGAAGTGGTGTTGAATGTGTACGAAGCCCACCACAGCACCACACTCAGAGAAAAGGCTGTCAAAGAGCTGTACGAGCACATCCAGGCTGACGACCGCTTCACCAAGTGTATCAGTATCGGACCGGTAAGAACACTTTACACATCCATAAGATAAACTCTGCATTACAACACCACGAATACATAAATAATATTCAGTATTTTATAAAAGGAGAATGCTGAGTCTTACGATGTTTGCTGAAAACAATAAAACTTGAGTTATTAAAATATTAAATATGAACAGAAACGAGGCTAAAATGAGCCAAATACAAGCTAAAAGCAGCAGAACACAAGCTAGAAATAATAGCAGCAGAATGATAGCTGAAAGCTAAAAGCAGCAAAACATTAGCTAAAGTCTAAAAGAACCAGAATGCCAGCTAAAAAACAGTATAAAATAGCTCATTTTAGCCAAACGGATGCTAAAATCAGCTAAATGGATGCTAACATGTAAAAAACAAATGCAAAGTTTAATAAAACAAATACTTAAGATAAAATTAGAAAAATAAAAAAACTGTACTTTCAGCATAAAAAGCAATAGGAATACTAATTGTTGAGTGAATGTATTTGCTGACTAAGCTGAAAATAAGCTGAACTCTAAATGTAGTAAATTGCTTTCTGAAAGCTGAAAGTAGCAAACGGCTAACTAAAAAACTAAAAAGAAACAAAGCACTAGCTAAAAGTTAAAAATTGCTACGAAAGCCTAAAAGGAGCTATCTGCTAATTATAAAAAAATAAAATGCTAGCTTGCAGCTAAAAGTAGCAAACTGATAGCTAAAACTTATAAAAGGTAAAAAAGCTAATTAAACACTAAAAGTAACAAAAATTTAACTAAAACATACAATTTGCAGAAAGCTAGCTAAACACCATTTAAAGTAAAAGGTTAACTGCAAGCTAAAAGTAGCAGAAAGCTAGTTGTATTAGCAAGATGTTAGCTTTAAAGCACATTAAGTATTGTTAGACATAGGGTCAGCTTTAACAGTAGCAGTAGTTGTCGAAGACTTGGCGTTATCGGAGTTAGCTTTAGCTGTAAAGTCAAAAAACAATAAAAAACAGGAAACTGTTGAGTAGATGTTGAATCTGCGTTGACAGTGAGCTTAATGCTTTGACCGTCCTTCGTAGATCTCCAAGACTATCAACATGTTGGTCCGCTGGCACGTGGACGGACCCTCCTCTGCAGCTTTTCAGGAGCACGTCTCCAGGATCCCTGACTACCTCTGGTCAGTCCCACGGTCTCCAGAAGCGTCCAGCTTTACCCAAACTGAAAACCCTTATGTCAAAGCTGTCAGTTATAAACTGTTGCACAGAAAGATTAAAAATAATAAAACAATTTTACCAAACTTACTTGAGTTTTCTGTGATGCAGGCTGGGATTGGATGGAATGAAAATGCAGGTGAGAATTTGTTTGAAATTAATAACTAAATAATTCCTACAGCTTCCAAATACACATTAATTTCACTCCTTGGTTCGTTTTCTTCTGATGCTCCTTCCACACAGGGAACAAACGGCTCGCAGCTCTGGGACACTTGTTTTGCTGTTCAGGCTTTTCTTGAGGTAACGTTAAAATGTGAAAACTTCAGCCTGTGGTTCTGTCTCTGGCTGCTAAACAGGTTTGTTCTGGGTATTTTTCAGGCCGGGGCCCAGAATGACCCCAAACTGTCCGAGTGTCTTCGAGAGGCCCATCGATTTCTCACGATCACACAGGTACAGCAACGTGCCTCTTGATGGAAACGGCACAAGTTGTGTCAAAAACTGAACTTTTATACAAAAGATTGCTGATGACGAGCCACCTCTTCCACGCAGATACCTGAAAATCCTCCTGAATACCAGAAATACTACAGGCAGATGAACAAGGTACAAGCAGCGTCACATATTCCTGAAATGTAGCATATTTAAAAACATCTTCTGGATATACGTATGGACGTGTTCTTTTTATGGTTTGGACAGTTTTATTCCTCCATATACAGCGTTTTCTGATTTTTGGGTGGTAAAAGGTTCAGATATCTCATGTATTGTGTTAGGGAGGCTTCCCCTTCAGTACTCGTGACTGTGGCTGGATCGTGGCCGACTGCACAGCTGAAGGCCTGAAGTCGGTGATGCTGCTGGAGGAGCTCTGTCCCTCCGTCGGGCAGCACTTTACCTCAGAGCGCCTGTATGATCCCGTCAACGTGGTGCGTTTTTGGACAACTGAACACTTAGTTTTTATGATGTTTTAAACTCCCAGTAACTGCACTGTTGAAAAAACAAGATTATATTTAGGTCTGTGAACAAGTGATGCTTTTATTATATCATGCTCATTATTTAATTCACCCCTTGAATATCAAAACATTCGGCTTGATCAGGAAAGTGTGTTAGCTTTATGTTTTTGTAACATTTGCAATAGAAATACATTTATTTCTCTTCAATTCCTTCTCGTTGAAATTTCATTCAGCATACTTGCTTTATTTTTGTCTTTTTATGCTACTTTTAGATTTTAGGTACCCTTTTGCTACTTTTAGCTACCATTTTGAAACTTTTGGTTTATAGATACTGTTAGCTTTCAGCTACAGTTCAGCTACTTTTAAAATTTAGCTAGTGTTTGACAAATTTTAGTTTTAAGCACCGGTTTTGCCCATTATAGCTTTTAGCACTGGTATTGCTAATTTAAGCTTTCAGATACTGTTTAGCTAGGGGCTGTGGTAGCTTGGTGGTCAGCGCCATGATCTTGTAATCCTGAGGTTGCGGGTTCGAGCCCAGGTTGCATCAGGAATCTGTCATAAAACAAATCTCCAAATCTTTCATGCGAGTTTGCTCGCTGTGGCGACCCCTGAAGAAGGGAGCAGCCAAAAGAAACTTATTATGTAAGCTAAAGTTTGGCTTTTAGCTACAGTTCCACAACTTGTAGCTTTTTGCTACCATTGACCAAATTTTAGTTGTTAGCTTTGATTTTGTTTTTGTTAGCTTTAAGCTAATTAGCTTTTAGGCACTTGTTCTTTTCTGCTTTTTGCTCTGGCTTTGCTAATTATAGCTTTTAGAAAAGTATTTTTTAATTCCAATTTTAGCTTTGTTCTGCTTGTACTCAGAATTATCTTGTCATTTTAGTAGAAAATGCAGTTTCTCTGGTTTGTTTTGGTCGTTCCACCATGTGTCTGCTGTTGGTTTGTAGCTGCTGAGCATGAGAAACAAAGATGGTGGATTTGCCACGTATGAAACAAAGAGAGGAGGAAGACTCCTGGAGCTGCTCAACCCCTCCGAGGTGTTTGGTAAGTTAGTCGACGCTCGAGATGGGATGAAACGACAAACATTCCCCGCTATTGTGCAGCTTTATTTGGTGTACCCACTGTCAGTTTAATGTGTATTATTTTGCACTCATCATGATCAATACCTCTTCTGTGGGAATGTTGGCCTGGACTGGAAGATTACTCTATAAAAACCAATTTGTCCAGTCCAGAGAGTTAGAGCAGGTCAGGGTTTCACATGGATGAGAGCACTGATAAGAGTGTAATCTTGTATTTTGCATGTTCTGTGAATTGTTGGACAGCTCTCCAAAATTTTGAAAATAAATCCGATGAAATAAACCTTGGTCTGTTCTGGGAATCTCCTTTTTTCCATGACACCTACCTTGAAGGATGTTAGTTCATCCTATATAATAATGTTAATTAGTTTATTGTTACCAACAGTGATTATTGACAGGCAAAACAGCAAAATAAATCTTAAAGGACCATTGGACCAGTCCATTTTTGGTAAAGTTTAAAAAATAAAAAAATTCTGTTAATCGTTTATCTGTAGTAACAATAAATATTTAGCTGACAGGCCATAAGATTTAGTCACCTAATAGGTTCAGAGGTGGCTGTAATCTTATTTGAAGCGGATTAGTAAACACATCAGAAATTTGGAGTTTTATTCTCAAAGTGGAGGTTTGCTTCCCCCAAAAGTAGGCGGAGCTTCACGCAGAGGCAGCTGTGCCTCGGACTGGCTCCTCACGTTTAACTTTGGACCAATTATCATTCCTTAAGAGACGCATGTCCCCTGATTCCCTATATTTGACCCAATCAGAAGCAGTGTGGAGCGAGTCATGACTTCCTGTTTTCAACCTTAATCTTGTGGATATTGTAGTTTAAGATCCAGTCGGTAAAACGTAATACCAGCTGGTTTATGAGAACTGATGGCACGCTGTAAAAAGTGACATGCGCTAAAATTCAAAAGTACTGCGTACCACTGAGTATTGGCCCACTTTGAGCACTGGTCATTGCCAATAAACATCTGTGTCTGAGATGTGTTCAACTGTATGGAATAATTTAACTACTTTGTTGGAAAGTCTGGTAACCAAACAAAAAGCATGACAAGTTGCTCATGACATTCAACTTTTTCTCTCTCTCTTGTCCTACTGTTATATTAAGACCTTCCCACCATCAACAACATGTGAATAAAAAGGGTAAATCTGTGTTTTTAATATTGCTCTGTTTGTCTGCAACAGGTGACATCATGATTGATTACACATACGTTGAGTGCACGTCTGCTGTAATTCAGGCTTTGAGGCACTTTCAGAAGTCCTATCCTGATCACCGTGCTGAGGAGATAAGGCATGCAGAAAATCACTCACAGTTCTCTGCAGATGTCTTAATGTAGCCTTCATTTATTTATATTTTGCTTCTTGAAGGTCTTTCAAAGTTTTCCTTTAAATATTTGCTACTTTCTCACAAATTTTCAGTCCTCGTACCTCTTCATTTTCAGATGAATGTTTTTTTTATTTGTGTGTAAGGCCATTTAACTCTTGATTTATGAATATTTTAAAGACCAGTGTTCAAACACAATACTTTTGTTTAATCCCAGTTTAAAAATATTACTACTACTACTTGAAATAAAGAAATTCAAGACTTTTGCACAGTGTTTTACATTTTCATTGAACTTGTTTTGAGGCTGCTAGACTAATATAGCCTGGCTTTATAAGTAAAGTATATTTAAACATTCGTTAATCGTACATTTATTTAAGTTTACAGTTCTTCTTGCAGTTAAAGTGCAAATAAAATATTTAATGCTTTCTACGTTATGAAATTTAACTTGTTGTTAATGTTTAAATTAGGACAGATTTATGGATAGTTTAGGACTAGAATTCATCCAGATAGTACAGATTGTATATTTGTACTTTATATCATTACTTGCCTAAGGCCTGCAGATGGATTTCAACCATTGGCTAAATCTAATTCAACTGGTCCCAAATAGATCACCTCAAAGAATTATGTGTTTCTTCTTCAGATCCACTATAAGAGAAGGTCTAGAGTACTGCAGGAGGGTGCAGAGGTCTGATGGATCCTGGGAAGGGTGAGTCCTGATGACCAAAGACTGTAAATATTGATAGACCCCTGAAGTGAACCAAGAATGGGACCAAACTTACCTGTTAGCTGGTTCTTGAACAAGTTTTAGATTATGCCCCCTCATCCTAAACAAACTGGGTTGCCGTTGGTAAAAATAAAAAAAAATCACCTCAGAGTTTTTTCATATGTTGGTTCATATAATTCTTACCTTGCTGTTGTATGTTCAAATATTAACTTTTCAAACACATAAGTAGTTCTTTTATGCTTAAAATGAAAGTCATTTGACATCATGATGGTTTGCAGGGAGTAGGCGGGGCTTAAAGCTAAACATCTCGAGTGCACAGACTCTGGTTTCAAAAGTCCAACATGGCAGCTCCCATAAACCGGGTCCTGCTTTCTTCAATTCTCAACAACAGCAGAAAGTGGCGTCATTTATCAACAAATGTCTCTTTACCACCTGATTACTAACTAACAGGTCTCACTCCGTCTGGTTCTGCTCGTCCTCAGGTCCTGGGGAGTGTGTTTCACGTACGGAACCTGGTTTGGCCTCGAAGCCTTCGCCTGCATGGATCACACTTATGAGAACGAGTAAGAAGACCAAAGAACGTGTTCAAGAACACTCGGTTCTCCTGAATAGATCAGGACTTTACCTGCGGAGCAGACCGAGTCTGAATCTTCCTCTGTAACCAGGGAGGTGCCTGACGAGGTGCAGAAGGCTTGTCGGTTCCTGTTGGACCGGCAGATGTCAGACGGAGGCTGGGGGGAGGACTTTGAGTCGTGTGAGCAGCGGCGCTACGTCCAGAGCAGCACTGCTCAGATCCACAACACCTGCTGGGCTTTGCTAGGACTCATGGCTGTCAGGTGAAGCTTTTACCGACACGTACAAGGAGTGTTTTGGTTAAGATTCTTAATGATTATGAAACAAATTTATTAAAACTGAAACATCTTTTGTTTATAAACAGACATCCTGACCAGCTGGCCATTGAGAGAGGAGTTCAGTTGTTGGTTGAGAAGCAGCTGCTCAATGGAGACTGGCCACAGGTGAGTTAGCAGCTTACATGTCTTAACTGTCTTTGCCAATAATACACATAATTAATGTAAAGTGAGTCCGGTAACAATGGAAAAGCAAGTGATGATTTTGTTTCGTTTAAGGAAAACATTGCCGGTGTCTTCAACAAAAGTTGCGCCATCAGTTACACCTCCTACAGAAACGTCTTCCCGGTCTGGACCCTCGGACGCTTCTCGAGGCTTTACCCGAGCAGTCCCCTGGCTGGGAAGCTGAAGCTGTGATGAACTGCAGAACATCAAATTTTACTCTAGTTAAGACTTTTATTTTGCATTTGTAAATTTGAAACACAAACTGAAGATGTTTTATCTATATTTGTTCCTCCAAGACTCAGACTTTCATGTGCTCATTTATTGCCTGGTGCATCTATTCCATCAGGTTTTTGAGATTTAGGGTTGCAACAAAGAATCTCACAGCAGATATTTCTGTTGTATGTTAGGTATTTTAGATCAGGCAGACTTAATTTATTGGGACGGCACCTATTATTCTACACCTCGGAAGTGAGTCTACATTTCTATCTCCGTTAATGCGGCCCGAACCACAAGGTCTACCCCCCAAAAAATTTATATCAAAACGACCGGCTCGGCCCCGTGATGTGTGCTATTACTTTTATTGGCATTTTGAGTTACCAAGGCGACGTAATTAGCGAACAAAGACTCAATATTTCACCAACTCCAGGAACTAGTTGGTGACTGCCCACTTGTTATTCTACACCTGAAAAGCATATCTTTTTCAACTTTAATGCAGCCCGAACCGCAACGTGCACCCCCACAAAAGTTATATCAAAACGACCGGTCCGGATACAGGAAGTGTGCTATTACTTTTATTGGCATTCGCAGTTACCATGGCGACATATTTTGCTAACGAAGATGCCAAATTTCACATAGGAAATGAATAGGAGAAAACTCTTCACAGAAACTGAGTAACATATGGAGCCATTTTGTTTCAACATGCATGGAAGGCACCTATTATCACCTATTATTATTATTAATAATTATTAATAATAATAATTAAAATAAATTAATTATCTGTTTTAATATTACTAATTATAAATATTAATAAGTAATATTTAATATTAATAATAATTATTGGTGTGAGTATTATCAATAGTGATTATTAATTATTATTTTAATAATAATTAATAAATTAAAAATATATTTATATTTATTAAGATTAATACTTAGTATTGATTATTAACATTAATAATCATTGATATAATATTAATAATCATTAATATTGATATTTATTATTAATAATAATTTAATATTAAATAGGCAGTCCCCGTCAAAGTTTCTCCAGGAACTTTCTAGTGTTTTTATTGTGACACAGTATTGCCGTCTACTGCATATTGCAGGACCTATTTGTAGTACCTCTCTTACCTGGCTGCTAAATGAACTAATGTAAACCTTTTTTTCTTCATAAATCTATGTAGCTCATCCAAGAAGGCAATTAGAACAACTTTTTGGAGAAGATGTGATCCTGAAACTGGATTTAGACAGTTTTATTTCTAAGACAGTCTGACCATTTATCTCACCGTTTCCTTTTGTGTTTGTGTCTGATAATTTTGGCTTTTGTTTTTACTTTAGGCCCAGTAAACATTCGTGTAAGAAAAATGTTTTAAGAACCGTGTATCCAAGAAGTCTGTTAGCTGTTAGGCTAACAATGTAAACCACCACTGACTTATGCTAACGCTGTTAGCGTGTTCCCTGCAGACAGTGTTGTTTCAGAGCAGCAAATGTTGCTACGGTGAAAATATTGTAATTGTTTTCAGTTGTTGCACTTAAAAAAGTTTTTAATGCTTTGTACTGTGAGTTTCTTTATTTTTTAAAAGGTGTTACAAGTGGCCACACACTGGCTGGTTTTCAAAAACCTAAAACAAACAGACATGTTTCCTTTAATAGCGCCTAGCTGCAGACCATGGAGTCAAAGCTTCAACTGGAAACACATTGTATCCACCAAGCCAAGTTACTCATTTACTTATGTGTTTCTGGGGATTGGACATGACCTGTTTCGGTTGGATATTTTCTCCCATTATCTGCAGCTAGACCCCTTTCTGTTTCTTACCGGTCATGGAGCATTGCATCACGTATTTCCAGTTGTTGGTCGAGCTTCTCGGGGTATGATGTCCGGGTCCAGGTACTCTTGGAAAAACTTGGAGAACGAATGCAACGAGATTGATGCTGACACAAAATCAAAGCTTGTAAAAGATGTTGAGAAAATTTAACTGTACATGGTGAAGCATTGTCAGGAGCATGCGGTCGGCAGGTGGACTTCTACAAATACCCAGTCAACAACTTTACACACACAAGTGACTGAAGGCGTACAAGTCAGTGGTCGAGTATAACTTTGTTCCTTGGGTCAGGTACACGAGAGGCTTTAAATATCTCACCTGTTTGCATCATTAAACCGACGGTGATTCATTTTGGCGGGGTCTGGAGAGCCCTGTGAACCAACCGTGGGTGTGCCTTGAGATGGGCATGTAAATCGGGCCACAAGCGTCGCTGCACTGAAGATGGCACTTCAGGAAGGTCTCCCCATAAAGGAGATACAGTAACACAACCAAAGCAACACTGCTGGATCTGCACAAGGATCATGTTTGTGTTTTTAGTTAACACATTCAGTGAGACCATATGTAGAGAATACAAGAGTGCAGAATTGTGTCTGCACAACCAAACGACACCACTGGAGCACAAAGGAACCTTGCATTTCTGCTTTGTTTGAGCAACCATTTTGGAGGCTAATGGGACTTCTGGCAACAAAACAACTGGACCAGTACTTCTGTCAGCTGGCTAAAGGTTGGCCTTTAGATTGGCGGAAAAACCACCTTATTGATGCCTTCTTGGACCATTGAGAGGAAATATCTGTCCACAAACTTCTGTTCCGAGTGACACACCCTATTTACACTGACATGGCGGGGGAAATGTAATTTTTTTTTTTTTCGGATGTTGATTCGAGGTAAAAAATCTGCATTGACAGGAAGCGATTTTGGTGTTTACAAGTATCTGCAGGAATTCCCTGAATCTGCTGTAGTTGCAATGCCAGGTCATTAGTTGGTGCTGTAAATTTTGTACATTCACCTAATGCGCATGTGCGCTACCTGGGACCGCTCGCAGTACGGTCCTTCCTCTGGGCTGAAAGCCCAGGTAACAACAAAACTTACTTTTAAATACGAGTCAACGGATTTGACGCCAAGCAGGACCGCTTCGTCTAACAGCCTGACATCGGTCGCTTAGCGGACCAGCAGTTGACGAGAACGATGTCGAACTTCCTACTCATGGTAATCGGTAGCCGTCGAGCAGGTAAATACAAGTTCTGGATAATGTTTATGTGTGTTGTTTGGTTACACAACAACCAACTGAGTTTTTATTTTTCCTGTGAGGAGAAGCTCCTACGGCAGACCGGTTCCAAAACAGAGCACTGACTTAGAGGAGAACATCGACAAGAGAGATGTTGAAGCAACTATTCACTTAAAATTCTCCTCAGTTCTTTTTTCCGATCAATTCAATGTTTTAAGCTACATTAAGCAAAGGAGTGACAACCTGAACAAGCCAGATAAACAACATGGTGCCAATATCCAGGATGACAACAGAGAGGAAGAGTCCAGTTCATTAGTTTACAGTTCGGTTTTTTTCAATAGTGTTCAGTTTTCTTATCAGTGGTTGTGTGACATAAGTTTGTGGTGTTGAATAAATACATTAAAATTAAACCTGATGTCTTCATTTTCAACTTTAATAACATGCGATATGTTTCACATCATCGTTTAAATCACTTAACTTGAATTACATAATGTCCAGATAGCTTCTTTTAGCTCGGATAACTTCACCACATCTCCCACCACTAACAGAAACACAATTTATTACGGCTGTTATTGTTGTACGTACACCCAAATGATGTAACCACATTGATATTATTTTATAAATAATATTTTAATGTCATTTAAGTATTCTTTGATAACAAAAATAACATGGGGTTAATGATGGCTAATTTTACAAAGGTAGTCCTGTTTAATTAATTTTGTGGAGGGGCGGAGCCTTTGGGGTGCTCAACCCCGCCCCCTACCACTTTTATATCGTGGCAACTTCCTGCTCACGTTCTATGCAGTGTTGCCAAGTCCGCTTATCATAAGCGACTTTGGGCTTGTTTTTTTCTAAAGTCACTTGCAAAATCTTGTGGGTTGCAGGTTTTTGGCTTGTTTTTGAACATGAAGTTGCTCATTTGGACTTGGCTTTCTTTCCGAGTGAAACCAGTTGATTATCTCCCAGCTCCACACAATAAAGCAAAAGACGAGTGGTAGGCGGTAGTTTGTCCCTTCCACACCCCCGTTTCCTGTTTATCGCTCCCGCCCAAGTTGGAGAGGAGACAGGTGCACACACAAACAAACGCTCATACTGTGGCTGACCACTAGGGGGCTCTACTCACGCGCAGATGTCGGGATGTTTTGTTTTTATAAATATGTAGAAAAAAATATGATTTTTGGTGCTTTTTTCATCAGAGCTTAAAAGTATGTTGTTCAAAGTGTTTAGCATAATTTTGCTGTTTATTTGGAATGCCATAATAAATGTAAGTTTTAAAACAGCCTCTGTTTTACGCAATGTGGTGGGTTGCCAGTTGGGCTTTTTTTGGGGCTTGCTTTCATGGAGCTGGTTGCTTGTTTCTATCGCGAGATCTGGCAACACTGGTTCTATGCAGTCTGGAGAAAAGACGAGTTTCGCTGTGGTTCCTGTTCTTACGCACTACATTGATTTTACAGATATCATCTTTGTTATCGAGGTCACCGTGCCAGCTGGGGCCTGTAACATTATTGTTTAGCACATTTTGTATGTTATACTCCAGTGCCATGCATGAAATATACGCCTGCCTCGACGGGCTCGTTAGCAGTTTTGAACTCGATCTGACTGGCGTCTCTTCCCAACAGATGTCGTCACAGCACCTACATTCCCGTATAGATTAACTACGAGACCCAAAATATATTACATCAGTCGTAGCACAGAAAGCAGTATGCTACATTCCGCCGCCACTGATGTTGATAGAAATATGCCATTGGTTCACGTGTGCGTGAAATTAGGCCTAACGATAACATATTTTGCTGGGCGATTAATTGTTTCAAAAATTATTGCGATAAACGATAATATTGTTTGAAATTTAACAATAATTAATTGTCAAATTTTAGAAGAAATGTTTATTTCTTTGGCTGTAGTACCTTTTTTGACCACCTGATAGCAGTATAAGACTGTTTGAACTTAAGGATGGATGCCTTGGGGAAGAATCGGTTTTGTTGTGTGTTTTCTTGACTGATGAAGCCTTCCAGATCGAAGGCGAAACGTTTCAGCACAAAAAAAGAAACTGTCCAGATGACCTGACTGAAAAATGTTGGTTTGTATACCTGGATTATTGAGCATGGACTTTGTTGTTAAAGGATGGATAGTTAAGCAGCGTATCTCTTTAAGAAAAATGGGAGGGAGGGACCTTGACATGACATGGGCTGACATGGTGATATGGCAGACGCTAGGTGATTTGAGCTCTTTAGCATAGCATTTTTCACACAAAGCTTTTAATAAAAAAAACAGCAAACAAGTTCTCAGCTTCTTTTTGCAGAGAAAAACAACTTTTTACACGAAGACACGGGTTTCAACCGTGAATACTGGAGCTCAACAAGACGGAGGTTTATTCCCGAGGTCGGCCTGTTAGCTTAGCTCGTAGCTTAGCTTCTCAGCTTAGCTGCTTTTTAACGATCCAAAAACGTGATTTTGGATCGTTAAAGCAGATTTTAAAGAGAAAGGGAGGGGTCAGTGAACCGGAGTTGAGCCGTGTCTTCAGTAGAAAGAGAGACACGAAGAAACGATAAAGCCGGTAAATGAAAACGAGGTTGATAATTTTCATTTATCATGCGATTAATTGATTTATTGTTTATCACGACAGGCCTACGTGAAATATACGCCTGTATTGCGCATGTGCTTTAACACCTCTGCGGGCGATCTCCTGAAAACCCTCCAGATTCAGCGAAGGGGGTGGGGTGGGGATTTGAGGAAATGGACATAAACCTAAAGACACCTCAAGGAAAGAGCACTTGTTCATCATTAATTTATTTTCAGCATTACAGTTCTTAAAAAGAAATCCAAAAAGGCAGGTTGAGAGTACACTGACAAACCGAGCATTAATGACACTTCACACACTAAGTTTGCTATAAGAACAAAGTACATAAAGTCACAGAGACATTAATTAATTTCACATTTTATAAAGAAGAACGTGAACAAAAACACAAGTTTACAGTGGTTCTTGAAGTTGCTCTGTCAGATGTGTGTGTTAACAAAATATTTCCAAACTCAAACACAACGTGCGACAGTTTCCGCCCAGAAAACAAACCTGATGTTTAGTTTCATTTGAAGTAATCAGCTTGTCACAGATTCAGCTGCCCAGCCAGCGGGTAAAGCCTCGTGAAGCGCGCGAGAGTCAGGATGGGGAAGACGTTTTTGTAGGAGGCGTAATTGATGCCGCAGTTCTTGGCAAACACGCCTGCGATGTTTCCCTGGAAGGCAGGACAATGAAACCACATCAGTTCTGTTTTTATCGCCAACTTTTAGAAATTAAAAGAAGCTCTGGATGGATGAGAGGTACAGAAGGAAGGGAGGACTTTCTCTTTAGATGATATCTAGCTGTGAAACTTTAAAAAATAAGAGTCCGAAATGGTACACGGTTACACCTGGATGCACGGTTCTTAAAACATTTCTCTTACACAAATGTTGGTCTTACACCATTTACTATGTACCATATTTTATTGGACCTTCTCTCAGGGCACAGAGTTAAACATGAATGGAGGCTCTTGAAAGAGAATTTTTTTGCTTCTAGTTAGAATTTAGCTACTTTGTACCCCAACTCTTGCACAGAGATGGTTGAATATGGGCACCCGTGACCCCCGCCACGCCTTTTAGCTTAAACACTTTACTTTCAGCTTCATTCATGACTCATGTGTTGACGCTATACTTTTGAAGGACATGTAATTTTTTTAGTTTGTGTTTGAATTCAGCTCTCGCTATGAATTAAACTTTATAAAACTATTTTAACAGTCAAGAGCAGCTGAAGCCAAAAACTTTCTCAGTAGCTTCTATTACCTAAAGTATAATTTAATGTTTAGCATCTTTACCTGCAGAATAAAACAAACTCACTTTCACCTGTTTTATTTATCTATAAAGATTTACCCAATCATTTAAAAATGACTGACGTGAGATTAAACCAATAAGGATGATAGTATGAAATATGAGACAATTTAACAGGTGACTACCGTACTTTTCTGTTTTACTTTCAAAGCAGGACGCGTGTAAGCTGCTAACTCACCTGTGGCCAGTCTCCATTGAGCAGCTGCTTCTCAATCAACATCTGAACTCCTCTCTCAATGGCCAGCTGGTCAGGATGTCTGTTTATACACACAAGATATTTCAGTTTTAATAAATTTGTTTCATAATCATTAAGAATCTTAACCAAAACACTCCTTGTACGTGTCGGTAAAAGCTTCACCTGACAGCCATGAGTCCTAGCAAAGCCCAGCAGGTGTTGTGGATCTGAGCACTGCTGCTCTGGATGTAGCGCCGCTGCTTACATGATTCAAAGTCCTCCCCCCAGCCTCCGTCTGACATCTGCCGGTCCAACAGGAACCGACAAGCTTTCTGGACCTCGTCAGGTACCTCCCTGGTTACAGAGGAAACATCAGACTCAGTCTGCTCTGCAGGTACGTCCTGATTTGTCCAGGAGAACCAAGTGTTCTTGAACATGTTCTTTAGTCGTCTTACTCGTTCTCATAAGTGTGATCCATGCAGGCGAAGGCTTCGAGGCCCAACCAGGTTCCGTACGTGAAACTCACTCCCCAGGACCTGAGGACAAGCAGAACCAGACTGAGTGAGACCTGCTAGTTAGTAATCAGGTGGTGAAACACCAAGTCCAGGCTCACCCTTCCCAGGATCCATCAGGTCTCTGCACCTTCCTGCAGAACTCCAGACCTTCTCTCAGAGTGGATCTGAAGAAGAAACAGATCTTTTTGTGTTTCTTTGAGTAAATATTTTCTTCACTCATTGTGGATGTAAAGGAGGGTAATTCTTTGAGTCAATGGGCTTTTTAAAAAAATTAACAGCCACATTCTCTTGTTTTTTTAGACACCACATCAGTGATGGTTGGATCCATCTCTTAGATGCTGAGAACCTTAAGAAGCTCTTTTAACTAAAAACACTCCATACTTATTTACCAGACTAAAATAATATATTTCCTGTGTTTTTTAAGAAGTTTCTAGATTTTTACATGCCTGTTTGAGCATTTTTATTGTGTTGGATTTAACTCAGAAACCTAAAACAATTTGCATCTTTGTGTTGTTAAAAAACAGTTTTAGTCTAGTTTAACTCAATCTGTTCTCATGTTCCCTTTTTAGCTCTTGACACATGTCGCTTTCTGTTAAACAGGGAAAAAACTGTAAAATGTAATGATGTGGGGTAAAGTTACAGGAGCAGTGACTTGTATAAGGTCAGGTCTTAAAAAACAATTCTGACTGTCATCCATGGATAAATTAAAAGTGGAAAATAAACTGCTATGATGTAGAACAAACTAAAATTTTATGTTCCATCTGCTTCCATCAACCTTCAACCTTGAAATGATGGCAAGTAGCATCTCTTTTAGTATTTTGTGTGTAGACAAAACTCGAGCTTTAAAACTATTTAGAAAGCTCAGAGAACTGTTGCTAAAGATTAGTTAAAGGACACCTGGTTCCCTTGTAAAGAAGCATACTGGTGCATTAAGACTCTTATTTATAAAGTATTTTTTTGTACCTTATCTCGTCTGAGCGATGATCAGGGTAGGACTTCTGGAAGTGTCTCAAAGCTTGTATTACTGCAGAGGTACACTCCACATATGTGTAATCTATCATGATGTTGCCTGGTACAGACAAAACAAAACAAAAACATGGATATACTTTTGCCAGTTTTACAGACACTGACATTAAATTTGGTGTGGTAGAAGCTGAGCCTGATCCCCAGCACATGATCTAAACATTAACAAATTGATGCAAACTTGTTTAAATGTTGCCATGGAACATGGTAAACATGACAAGTGTTGGAACTAAGAAATTGTACTGTGGAAGTCGGCAGAAAGAGAAAAAAACATTTTAAGTCTCGATTTATTCACTACGTCTTCCAACATCAAGCTTAGAAAAAAACAAATGATTTACAACCGGTGACCTGCTCTTTTTATATTCTGTCCCTTTCTCAATAAGAGCACATTCTGACATGAAATATATACATTTGTGGCCACCACACAGCGCCCCCCCCCCCCAACACACAGAACGTCACAAACACCAAAAACACAAATTGTGAAACCCATTACAGGTGTAAAACATACACTAAAGAAATAAATAAATGAAATATCTAATGGTAACGGCTAGGGAGTTTAATAAGGTGGCCACCACGGCTGCTCTTCACAGCGACAGGGGTTGAAAGTGAAGGAGACTCTCCGGACCGACTGCCACTAAACTGTTCACCTGAGGGAGGCAACCCAGCTGTAGGGGGAAAACCTGGAAGAGTGGGCAAAAAAACTGGGGGACGGCCAAGACGAGGTGCCTGAGCCAACTCAACCAAGTCCCCTGGTAATACATGAGCTGGTTTCAAGCGGTCCACCGAAACACTCTCTTCATTACCCCCCAGCACCACCAAAAAATCTTTAGGTCCCCTCTCCAAAACACGAAATGGACCATTGTAAGGAGGCTGAAGTGGTGAATGGTGTGCATCATGGCGGATAAATACATACTTGGCCGACATAAGGTCCTTCGGCACAAACACCTGTGCTCCAATGGGGCAACAGATCTATTTTCCCTTGTTAGGATTGCCCTACTCCCCTTGGGAGCAACTGAACCCACCGGACCTGGAAGAAACTCCCCTGGTACCCTCAAAGGCTGGCCAAGGACCAACTCAGCTGAAGAAAACTGCAGGTCCTTTTTAGGAGATGAACGCAGGCCCAACAAAACCCCAGGCAGGTGATCCATCCAACCATTATCCACCAATGAGGCCCGCAATGCAGCCTTCATTGAGCGATGGAACTTCTCACAAAGACCATTAGCCTGCGGGTGGTAGGCAGTAGTACGGTGGAGTTTAACCTCAAGGCACTCTGCCACTGCAGTCCACAACTCTGAGGTGAACTGGGGACCCCTGTCAGAAGTCAAGTCCAATGGCACACCAAATTGGGACACCCAGGAAGAGATAAAAACCCGAGCCACATCAACCAAAGTAGTTGATGACAGTGGAACTGCCCTCTGGCCACCGAGTGGTTCTGTCCACCATTTAAGAGATAAGTAAAACCACTGAAGGTGGAAGTGAGCCCACTAAATCCACATGCACATGCTCAAACTTCCCTTGGGGAATAGGAAACAGTTCCAGTGGAGCTTTAGTGGGCTGTTACACCTTGGCACACTAGCAAGCTAAACAGGAAGCCGCCCATGTACGTACGTACATCTCTACGGAGCCCTGGCCACACAAACTTTGCCCCTATCAGTTTTACTGATGCTTTTACCCCTGGGTGTGAAAGGGAATGAACTGTATCAAAAACCCACCTACACCAGCCACTAGGAACCAGAGGTCGAGGCTTACCAGTCGAGACATCACAAAGAAGGGTTGCACCACACTCATGAAAGGAAACTTCCTCCAAATGCAAACTAGATTCGGCTGCCTTAAAGGCCAGAATACCCAGGTCTGTCAGTTGGTCTGCGGCCATGGCGAGGTAATCAACGCCTAAAATTCACAGAAGCAACCCTTGCTTTGGACAGACAGTCAGCCACCAGGTTTTTCTTGCCAGCCACATGCTGAATGTTCGTAGTAAACTCCGAACTGGCGGACAAATGCTGTTGTTGCCGTGACGACCATGTTTCAAAAACTTTTGCCATAGCAAAAGTGAGAGGCTTATGGTCAACAAAAGCAGTAAAGTCCCTGCCCTCCAACATGAACCGAAAATGCCGTGTTGCCAGAAAAAGAGCGAGCAGTTCCCTATCAAAGGTGCTATATTTTTTTCAGCATCCCTGAGTTTCCTGCTAAAAAAAGCGAGGGGTTGCCATGCTTCATCCACCCATTGTTCACAAACTGCCCCAACTGCATAATCAGAGGCATCAGTTGTCAGAAACACAGGAGCCACTGGAGAAGGATGGGCCTAAAGTGCAGCGTTAGCCAAAGCCTCTTTGGCATCATTGAATGCCTGTACCCTCTCAGGGGTCCACTCTATTTGCTGGTACCCTTTTTTGCCTCCAAGTGCTTCATACAAGGGGTGCATAAGATGAGCTGCCCGTGGGATGAAACTGTTATGAAAGTTCACCATCCCCAAAAACTCCTGCAGGGGCTTCACTGAGGGAAGGTGAGGAAAAACTAAAACAACTTTAACCTTGGCAGGTAGGGGAAGCACCCCTTGAGCAGACACTCTGTGTCCCAGGGACTCAACAGCAGGCAGACCAAACTGGCATTTAGCTGGATTCACGCTCAGGCCGTGCTCACTGAGCCAAACAAACAGCTGGCAAAGGTGCACCATGTGTTCTGCCACCGAGGGACTAGCCACCAATATATCATCCAAATAGACGCACAAAAACGGCATACCCTGCAGGACCAAATCCATAAGTCGCTGGAACATCTGTGCTGTGCCTTTAAGGCTGAAGGGCATCTGTAAAAACTCAAAAAGACCAAAAGGTGTGATAACTGCGGTTTTTGGTACATCTAAGGGATGCACAGGAACCTGATGATAGCCCCACACCAAATCTACCTTGGAAAAACAGTTGCCCCTGCCAGGCGGGCAGAAAAATCCTGAATGTGAGGGACTGGGTACCTGTCGTTACTGGTTGCGTTGATAAGGAAGAAGAACTTGGTCCGAAAACGTGGCTGATAGAGAAGCAACGTCAGCATCTGGTGAGTTCTCATTTGAAAACATGTTCAGATGTTTGGGGTAACCAATGTGGAAGTCGGCAGAAAGAGACGAAAAATATTTTGAGTCTCCATTTATTCTCTATGTCTTCCAACATCAAGCTCAGAAAAAAACAAATGATTTACAACCGTTGACCTGCTCTTTTTATATTCTGTCCCTTTCACAATAACAGCACATTCTGACTTGAAATATATACATTTGTGTCCACCACAATACCTAATTTTGGAAAAAATTGTAATTTTGAATTTTATGGCAGCAACACATCTCAAAAACAGTTGGAACAGAGGCAACAAAAGGTTGTAAAAGTGGTACGAATAAAAAAAAAAACCTGCTAGAGAAACATTTTGCAATGAATTAGGTTAAATAGCAGCTGGTTAGTAAAAGAACTGGGTTTATAAAAAAAAACATTTTGGAGAGGCTGATTATCTCAGATGTAAAGGTGGGCAGAGATTCACCCGTCTGTGACAAAATTGCAAAAATAATGGAACAACTTCAGAATGATTTTGGACGACTTTGGATCTCCCAGAGGAGAGGAACCATTCAGACAGTTATCACCTGTCTCACTGATGATATGGGGGAGCATTAGTGCATCTAGCATGGGCAGCTTACACATCTGGAAAGACTCCATCAATGCAGAAAAATATCTACAAGTTTTAACACATCATTTCATCCAACATAGAAGACCCAGGACTGCTGAATGGCTAGAATCCTCCGTCAGACCAGAATGGGATAACATTCCACTCAAAACCTCCAGCAGCTGGTCTCAGGTCCTCCAAAAACACCAACAACTGATCTCCTTAGGTCCCCTAAAAACTCCAATTACTGGCCTTTCCAGATCCTCCAAAACCTCCAACAACTGGTCTACTCAGGCCCTCCAAAACCTCTAACTGTTCTCTTCAGGTCCTCCAAAACCTCGAATAACTGGACTCAGGTCCTCCAAAAACACCAACTGGTCTCCTCAGGTTTTCCAAAACCTCCAACAACTGGCCCCCTCAGGTCCTCCAGAACCTACAATAACTGGTCTCCTGAGGTCCTGGATGTTTACAGACTGTTGTTAAAAAGAGGGGATGCTTCCAAGTGGGAAACGGACTTGGAACAACAAGATGTAGTTGCTGCCATTAAATTCAAAAGTACCTCACTTTTCTCTGAAAATGGTACAATTCCTTATTTTAACATGTAAAATGTTTGCTGTGTTCCATTGTAAATAAAGTGTTTGTTTCTGAGATTGGCAAATCATTGCATTCAGATATTTTGCTAACAGACAGACAAACAGACCCAGAGGAGGCTGCCTGCTTTTCATGGTAGCTGGTTATAATAACGTCACTAAACCATAGGGACGACACCAGGCGGAGTCCTGATGACGTACTCTTTTTATGCTTGCATGTGTTTGTGTGTTGGTATGAGTGAGTCGATCTTCCCTCGTTTTAGATGTTTGGTTTCTTAGTTTTATATCTATATTTGATGTGAACTGAACCCATTTGCACAAGACTGAGAGCAGATTCAGACACAGCCCTGTTCATGGCAGTAGTGGTTTAGTGAAGTGCTAGAAAAGAAAATTTTATTTGGACTGACCAAACATCTCGGAGGAGTTCAGCAGCTCCAGGAGTCTTCCTCCTCTCATAGTTTCATATGTGGCAAATCCACCATCTTTGTTTCTCATGCTCAGCAGCTACAAAACAGCAGAGCTTGAGTTTATTTTGTTTTACTCTGTCTTAATGTGTTGAGCATCTGGCAAACCTGTTGTATGTGAGATAGCAGCATTTTACACATAACTATTTAAAATATACATTTTTATTTCTTTTAGCAATATTTATCACCAGAAGCCAAACGAGCACTTTGAAACATTTAGAAACAATCAGTTAATATGTTTTAGGGTATTCTCAATAGACTCACCACATTGACAGCTTCATACAGACGTTCAGGGACAATGGGCTGCTCGATGGAGGGACAGAGCTCCTCCAGTAGCATCACCGACTTCAGCCCTTCTGCTGTGCAGTCAGCCACAATCCAGCCACAGTCATGGGTACTGAAGGGAAATCCTCCCTTATGTACACAGAAATATGATGCATGCACTAAACGTACATGAATAATATGATATTCTCTTCCTTACATTACTTCCTAAAATGTAAATATTTCTGTTCTTGTTTCAATAAGTGTGTTGTGGATATAATGTGATGCTGGTTGTACCTTGCTCATCTGTCTGTAGTATTTCTGGTAATCAAGATAATTCTCAGTTACCTGTATGAGTAGACGGAGGGTATGAAGGGTCTGGATGCTCACATCATTACACAGTTTTTGTATTAAGCACAAGTCAAGACGTTCAGTTGTGTTAACATAAGTCAGTTTCATTTAGGATTATTATTTTATTTATCAGGTATGTATCTTTGTTATAGTTCTTAATTTTTGATTAGAAGCATGCTTTTTGTACCTGTGTACTCATGAGAAATCGATGGGCCCTACGAAGACACTCCGACAGTTTGGGGTCATTCTGAGCTCCAGCCTGAAAAAAGTGCCCCAACACAAAAAGCATTTTAACTATCAATGGCAGAAACTGTGAGAATGAAGCAAGTGGCCATTGTTACCTCAAGAAAAGCCTGAACAGCAAAACAAGTGTCCCAGAGATGAGATCCATTCATTGCCTTGTTGGAAGAAATACGACAAGAAAAACTTGAATTAGAGTGTAAAAAAGTTCAATCTGGTCCTATGGCCATTCAAAAAAACAAAGCAAAAAAAATAAATGTAGATACGTTTCGTCTTTCATCTGAAAGACTTCCTCAGTCTGAGGAGCTGTATTCAGCTCAGTCTCTTAAATAGCACCTTCTCAGAGTGGATCAACCAGTTTTGCTGCTGACAACCAAAACCAGCTGCTCACATGGTCAAGAAGGACCATCAGCCTAACAATGGATCATTAGCACACTGATGGCTGTTTACTACTCACAGAGGGCTGAGTGATACTAGCAATCACAGCATTGTAAGAGGGGAACAGTTGAACATGGAGGCCTCCACCCCTGTTTAACGATGGACGATTTCTTTTCACAAAGATGGCCTCCTTTACTCCTCTCTCAAACCATCGTTCCTCTCTGTCCAGGATGTGAACATCTTCATCCCTGAAAGAGTGACCGCTGGCCTGGAGATGAGTGTAGACCGCAGAGTCCTGGCCTGATGATGTTGATCTTCTGTGCTGGGCCATCCTTTTGGCCAGTGGCTGTTTAGTTTCCCCGATGTAAGACTGATCACAGCCCTCCTGACACTGAACAGCATACACAACATTGCTCTGTTTGTGCCGGGGGACTGGATCTTTGGGATGAACCAGTCTTTGCCGTAATGTATTTTGGGGTTTAAAAGCCACTGGGATGATATGTTTAGAAAATAAATGTCTCAGTTTCTCTGCTACTCCCTCAACATACGGAATGACCACTGGTCTGGGTCTGGGTTCCTCCTTTTCACCTGATGGCTGACTGGAGTCCTGTTTGGGTTTCTTCTCTGCTTTCAGGAAGGCCCAGTTAGGATATCCACATTGCTCTAGAGCCTGTCTTGTGTGGGATTTCTCCTTCTGCCTGGCTCCTGAGCTAGTGGGGATGCTGTCTGCTCTGTGATACAGAGTCCTGATGACTCCTAACTTGTTCTCCAAAGGGTGATGAGAGTCAAACTGCAAATACTGGTCTGTGTGGGTGGGTTTGCGGTACACCTTGGTTTGCAAATGTCCTCTATCAGAGACTGAGACCTCACAGTCCAAGAAAGCCAACCTGCCATTTTTTTCATCTTCTCTTGTGAACTTGATGTATTTATCCACATAGTTGATGTGGTCAGTAAAATGTTGGACTTCCTGAGATTTAATTTTAACCCAGATGTCGTCAACATACCTGAACCAATGACTTGGTGGTGTCCCTGAAAAGGACATCAAGGCTCTCTTTTTGACCTCCTCCATGTACAGGTTGGCAACAATAGGAGAAACTGGAGACCCCATAGCACACCCATGTTTCTGCCTATAATATTGCTCCCCATATGTGAAGTAGGTTGACTGCAGGCACAGTTTCAAGAGTTGACACAGTTGTTCTGTGGAAAGTGTTACAATGTTTCCAAATATCTGGCGTCTGTATTCATCCCTTTAGTTGGCAGCTCAGAACACCACATACAGACCACCATGGACTTTGTGGATAAGGTGAGGGATGTCATCATGGAGATCGATGAAACAATGGTCTCTTTTGATGTCACATCACTCTTTACAGGTCTCTCTTGTAAATGAGTCCTCGAGGCTCAATGGGATTTACCTGTATAAATAAAGGTTGATTGATTGATTGATTACATGCATTCCTGTTGATGATGCAGTAGAGGTGGTCAGTTTAAGATTAAAATCAGACACCACTCTGAGCAGCAGGACCACGCTTTCCACAGAACAACTGTGTCAACTCTTGAAATTGGGGCAAGTTCAGTTTGGTTGGCAGGTTGCTCAGTTCTGTTGACGGGGTGGGGCACCCCGCCTGAATAATGGTAGGGGAAACACCGCAGTGTACCAGGCTGTATTATGTGCTGTTCCCACAAATTCTTACCTGCACTTTCATGCCATCCAATCCCATCCTGGAAGACAAAAATTGTAGTAGATTTACTACATTCTTTTATATTGCAATCTTCAAATTTTATATAAATGCTAAGCTCATGAAATCAAGCCCTTGTTTGATTCTGAAAAGGGTTATAAAACATTTTTGTGAGCAAGCTTTCCATCATGATTTATGGCTGTTTGATTGGTCAAGAATATCACTGTTTGATGATGTAGAATTGGCCTGGAAATATTTTTATAATGCTTTAAACTTTTTTTTAATAAACATGCCCCTCTTCGTAAATTTTGAGTAAAGAGTAGAAATAATCCCTGGTTCACGGCTGAGCTGTCTAATTTGTTAAAAGATCGAGATAATGCTTGGGCCAAGGCCAGGCATTCTAAAACTCAAAATGATTGGCTGGTATTCAAGAAATTGAGAAATCGCTTTACTTCCCTTGTTAAAAAGGCAAAATCCCAGTTTAATGTTGATAAAACTACTCAAAATTTAAATGATCCCAAGAAATTTTGGAAAGTGATTAAATCCTCATTTGGAGATGAAATATCTAGCGAATTACCTACTTGTATTATTAAGGATTCACAAAACTTAACCGACAAAGTAGCTATTCTTAACTGTTTCAATGAACACACATACATACATACATACATACATACATACATACATACATACATACA